AAAATAAAATGCAAGTACTGAACTACACAAAGTCAAAGTACACAAAGGCAGAGGAGAAAACAACCTCACAATCATCAACAACTTTAAAAAGGTAAAGGCTGGTTTTTTTAAGTGGGTGTTTTCTTTTAGAAATATCAAACTACTGTAAAAAAGACCATCTGTCATCTCAGTATAGGCTGGTGTAAGGAAAAGAAAGAAGTTTTGAATAACCGTTTATCAAGAAAGGCTTTCTAAGAAATAATACAACCTTAGAGGCTGGATCTGGACAGAACCTCAGATTACCCTTATCAGCCCTGTATCAGATCAGGGTGGCTAAGTCACTAATAACAGAGATAGGATCAGAACAGAGGTACCTTGAAGGGAAGAACACACCCTACAAGTTCAACACCCTCCCTCTGAAAGCTTCAATCACAAATGCTACCCTCCCACCCTCGTCCCCAAAAGGTCTTCTCTTAAAGCCCCATTTTAGCAAATGACGATTCTGTGGGGGCTGAGGGTGACCTTCCAAATTCAATCCATTCAACCGTAACCCTCTGAGTACTGGCACACTTGGGGAGGGCTGTGCAAGGACAAGGGAACCCGAGCCATGAGGTAGGGCTGGGGAACCACGATGCAAGGACCTCCCAGGAAGACCAAGGCATCTCCTTTTATCTGCAATAAAGCTAACAGGGTTGGGTTGAAAAGTTTCACATTCAGCCCTCCAGACATGAGCAAGAAAGGATTGCTGATCTGCTGGTGGCCCAGGCTGGTGACACGGACAGTTCTATTTTCCATTTTCCACTATTTTCAATTCTAATCCCCACTAACTCTGGGCACCACCTTGGTCTGCAACACAGAGCCAAAGCCTCAAGCAGCACCATGAATGGATGCTCTTGGCTGTGAAGAAAGGGAAAAGACAACACAGACGAAGGGATACCATAAGGCACAGGGGGTGTTCTGAAGCGGCCTGGGTGGAAACATAATTTCTGACATTTCTATTCACTTTCAGTGACCAAGCCTAAAGAAATAGATAAAAGTGACAATGGAAGGGAAAACTGGTTTGATTTACTGAGAGATTATAGAAGAAAATGTAATAGTCAGTCACGCACTGCTCCCAAGAGAGCGTGTGCAGATCAGTGGTTCCCAGCCGGGCTCACCTTAGACACACGGGGTCAACTGAGGTTTTGAATACGTCTTCACACAGGTGTAAATCTCCAGGCCTACACCCAGCCCCGGATTCTCAGGTCCCAGTAGACGGCACAAACTACAAACACAAGTAAGCCTGGCTGAACTTGGGATGCGCTCCATCCTTCCATACTCACTGGTAACGTGGCCAGGTCTGTGTAACTGCAGACTCAGCCGCCGTGAGACAGCAGAACGGAACTGCTGCAAGGCAAGAAGGAACCAGAACCATCGGACACCAAAGCTGTCTGTCTACACTGGATGCCCGAACAACAATTTTCCAGAACAAGCTCTTTCCACAAAATAGAAAGTGTTTTTCAAAGGAAAAATGTGCACAAGGGAGTCTAATTTCAGACACCAAAAACATCTTGGAAAACAAATTCAGTAATTAAATTTCTTGTTTCTTTCTTCTTTTTATCTACAGGGTTTTTGTTTGTTTGTTTGTTTGTTTTTGCCACAGGGTACATGCACCCAATGGAGAGACAGTGACAGTGAGAGGAAAAGTGAGAACATGCACGCAATGGAGAGACAGAAAGTGACAGTGAGAGGAAAAGTGAGAAATCACCCCCTCACACACACCTCCACCTGGGGTACATGGCCACACTGCAATCCCTTCTCCTCCAGTCTCCTCTTGGGATCTTAGGCCTACACATACAGGTGTCTGGTGTGATTTTTTAAGCCATGAGGTGTGGGACTTGAACTGTGGTCAGCCATGTGGGAGTCCAGTGTCTTAACCACCACACCACCTGCTAGACCCTCTTGTTCCTTTCAAAGAAGTCATATTCCTGGCCTCTTTCCACATCACCCACAACTAGCTAGGTAGATAGAACTAACTAGGTAGATAGAACACCTTAATCCTCATGAATTTCAGGTGCTCTCACTGTCTAGGGCTTCAAGCCTACCTGAGCTTCAAGACCACCAAGGCAACTGGGCACTGCTCAGAGTGAGCACCCAATCAGTCCTTCTTGGCTGACTTGAGGATTTATACTAATGGCCATCTTTAAAATAGTTTATCATTCACAAGCAAATAGATATTTAGCTTTCTTAGGTATGCTTTCACATTTGAAATTTATGGAAATTTAAGTTGTTCACACACCAAGGACTTATGAGAAAACTATGGAGGCTCTAAGGCTGGGAACATTTTGGAACTAGAGATTAGAGAACATGCTTTTCTCTCCTGCCTAGAACATCAGAGCAGTAGGAATGAGGATCTTTAAGAAACTACCAGCAGTGGTTAACGGCAAGTGATGGGAGACTTACCAGTGAGAACATTTTGTGTTCACGAGTTCTGATGTGTGGGAAAGGCAAGACAACCTGTTGATCTGATATTGCAGAGAGGGCCTGGCCCCCCTAAGAACTATGCACCAAGTTCTGCAAGAGCAAAGGCCATATTTTGTCAGCTCACTGTAGTAACCTTCAAGCTCTAAACAGTTCTGATGATGAAAGGGAGCTCGAAATGAGACACTGGATGGATGAGGGGAGGCTGTGGGTGTCAAATGGCGCCCACCCAGCACCCGCTACAATCCTGACATGCATGATGGTGGGCTGCTCTTTCCACATAGAGCAGGAAAGGAAAAAAGAATGGGCCGTGGGGTTGAGCAGGAACAAAGCAAGGTCTCCTGCTTCCCAAGGTGGCCTTGGCCTCTCGCCCCAAGCCTCTGGGTCTTTTCCTGGACTCCATTCTTACTTCCTGATCTCTGCTGCTCTGACCCTTCGAGGGAGGCCTCTCGTCACCCAGACAGACTCTGGTCAGTGCTGCCTGATTTCTTGAACTTGAACCAGGATGGGATTCTCTGTCAGAGACTTGTCCAAGAAGCAAAGGTGGACTTTCCCTCAGAGAGAAAAACAAAATGGTACTCCAACTGAAAACTAAGCAAAAACAGCCTCCATCACAAGTTTGCAGGACAAAGGCAAGTGGGATAAATACAGGTTCTTTCCCCATGGTTAGCATGCAACTGTGAGCACCAGGGAGTGAGGAACACGCTGCGGGGAAGGTACACACAAAGTGCAGCCTTTTAGAGCCAGTGCTGTGGGCGGCCTGAAGTTCCCTGGGGTCCCCTGCAGAACAGATTAACGTGAGCAAAGACTTGTACTGTATTTTAACTCAAACCCAAAGGCTTACACACATTAGGCAATGCTGGAAACATGCTGGCTGGCAACAGGCTGGACGACGGCCCAGCACCGCTGTCTCTGTGAACCCAAAGCCCCACTGGGGACTGCAGCGCCACTGCAACACACGGACAGCCATGCCAGAAATGAAAGTGGACACCTCTGGTGTCTGGCCAGACTCTGAAAATTCTCTGCCTTTTCTCTGGATCCCTGGACAAATAACAGCCTAGTCCTTCCTGTTTCTTCCTGAGGAATCAGTCAATTCTTCTTTAGGTTCTAAAGGATCCGGAGGATGGTGGGGCCTATAATTAGTGAGGTGAGCTAATCAGGCTGTATCCTGTGCAGCCTGGTTTAGCTCAACGGGATGACTAACCCCGCAGCTGAGCATGGCCTCCGGGGTGTGTCATGACCAATGCAGAGAGGGCACAGAGGATAAGTGGAGGAAGCAACTGGCATGTTCCAAAATTAAAAAAAAAAAAAAAATCCTGACTCAAAGAGTATGGCAATGCTCTCTTGGGAAGGGAAAGTAAACTGCAGACCCCCCAAATCTGGAAGGACTGACCACAGGCCAGTACTGCAGAGTGACCAACACTGATGTGCCATGGCTCACAGCAGACAGTCCACCCGTTCTGCTCATCTCCAGAAGCTGAAGACCAATGTGTCTAAAAGGACCTCAGCTTTTGCTGAGATGAAAGACATCGGTACCATCAAGCCAAAACACAACCTCTACGTATAATATTATAGATTTTTGCAGTAGTCATGTTTTTAAAAAGAAATGGGTGAATTGATTTTGCTTAAGCATTTATTTAACTTGAATCATTTCAACATGTAATTACTATAAATTAATTACTTTTCTCACTGAAAATCCAGTTCGCTTTCCACTGCAGAGTACCCCAGACCAGCTATGTCCCAAGTGCTCAGAAGCGACCAGTATGGTGCCTGCCACAGTGGACAGTCAGGGCAGGGACTTTCATACTCTTCAAGGAAACCTGTAATGATCCGTCTAGACACACACACACACACACACACACACACACACACACACACACAATAACAGCCCTGCTCCAGGTACCTCTACACCAAATGCTATGTTGCTCAAATGGTTATCACGGCAGTTAAAAAGCCTTCCCTTCAAAGCTGCCTCTGGTCACAGTCACAGAGTCCTAGCACCGAGCTCCGCCTGAAGAGCCCCAAGCTCTTTCAGAGTCCAGCTCAGTTCCCTCTGCACACGGGCAGCCTGTGGAGTCAGAGACATCCTCCGACGCTGGTTCCCATAGTTATATAGATGGAATGGCTAAATTCAGGGACCTCAAGATTGATTTTCCAGAATTTAACACCAACAAAGGAAAGAGTACATAATGTGAAAACCTGATTAAGGGGATTCTCAGAATATCCCACCTCTCTCCTTATGTCTCCCTGTCATCCCCTGGAAGAGAAAAACACCTCTCTGTCCATTTATGGATGATACTGGTTCAAAAAAAAAGGGGCTCCTTCTCCTTTAAACTGATGTCTTATTACACCACCCCGGGGAATGAAGAGATCCCTAATATTTCCGGTTTAACAGGTCAAATTCCCATTTCCATTTCAGCTCCTGATGGGTCAGAAACACTCGGGAGACAGAGATCATGTCCCAGAAGCATAACTGACAAGGAGGATCCATGCCAAAAGGCCACCAGGAAGTGCCCCTTCCGGCGGCGCTGCCCTGCCACCTGCAGCCCGCTGGTTCCTACCTTTGTGATTGAAGATGCCCTCCATTTCCATGCTACTTCTGGAGTGAGCGATGCAGAGAGAGCCGCAGGGCACCAGGCCTTCTGCCGCGGGGGACCGGTCGGTGGTCCGCACCAGACACCAGTCAGGCTTGTCGTGAGGCCCACCTCTCTCCTTATGTCTCCCTGCATTTATGGATGATACTGGTTCAAAAAAAAGGGGCTCCTTCTCCTTTAAACTGATGTCTTATTACACCACCCCGGGGAATGAAGAGATCCCTAATATTTCCGGTTTAACAGGTCAAATTCCCATTTCCATTTCAGCTCCTGATGGGTCAGAAACACTCGGGAGACAGAGATCATGTCCCAGAAGCATAACTGACAAGGAGGATCCATGCCAAAAGGCCACCAGGAAGTGCCCCTTCCGGCGGCGCTGCCCTGCCACCTGCAGCCCGCTGGTTCCTACCTTTGTGATTGAAGATGCCCTCCATTTCCATGCTACTTCTGGAGTGAGCGATGCAGAGAGAGCCGCAGGGCACCAGGCCTTCTGCCGCGGGGGACCGGTCGGTGGTCCGCACCAGACACCAGTCAGGCTTGTCGTGAGGCCGCTCTAAGACCTCCACGGTCTGGCCACGCCGGATGGTCAGCTCGTTGCTGTTGCACGCTGTGAAGTCGTGGATCACCACCGTCAGCTCGCAGCCACCGGAGAGCTGGGGAGGGGAGGAAGAGGGACAGGTCAGCCGACAGGAGCCACCAGGCCTTCCAGGTGGAGCTCTGACCTCAGCCTGAGTTCCACCGTCCCTGTCACAGGGGGGCCGAGCACCACCAGGCATGCGCTGAGACTGCACCATGGCTCGCTGCCCTCGGACCACGTGGGTGGTTTGCACTGCCACATTTCAACATCCCACTGCGATTTTCTGAATGTTTTACTGCCAGAACTGAAGACAACTTTTCATGAGCCTCCACATCTTTTGGTCCCTGAGACATTCTATCTCCCTCCTCAAAAGTACTCTTTCCTTGTTTTTAACTCAAGTCAAACTCATAACTGGGACCAGGGGGAGTCCTGTGAGCACCGTGAGATAAGACCCTACACTTCTGTGCTGACTCAGTGCTCTGTCCGGACTTGGGTGAGCACATCAGGAAAGCACAGCCGGGGGTGGGAGACCGAGAGGCAGTGGCCAGCCCCTGGACCATGACCGGAGCACACCATCTGCCCTCGGAATCCCTCCTGGGTCCTTCTCCACCCAGCACTCACCTCCAGGTGCCACTCTTGACCCCTGCTTCTGCCTGCGAACCTCTCAGGGCCCATGCTGACATGTGGGGACACAGGTGCTTCCCACCCGCCACGTGTTTTCTGGCCTTCCTATGGGTGCTGTGCTAGTCCTTCTTCTCTAAGCTCCCTGTTATCTTCCATGTCTGGACATAACTCAGCCTTCGCCGCACCTGCACCTGCGTGAATTCCATGAACACACCTGCTCTGTGATCTCTGTGAACACCATATGGCCTGATCCCAGGGTGTGTCCCCTAAGACCGATGGCTCTGTGGGGACAGGGCTTCTATGTAAGAATCCTGAGGCCAGCTCCCCATCTCCTTGTCCTCTTGCCTGGGCTCTTCAACCACATACACTGCTGGTGACCCCAGGTACATGTCCCGGCAGCAGAATCAGGCGCCTGACTCTTGCTGGACAATGGGATATGCTCCCTACCCTCAGTGGGGTGAGTCCAGGATGTGACTCACTGTATCTGTCCCCCCATCTATTCTCCTGGTGTTGCCTTTGGGGTAACGAAATCCCCATGGCATCACCCAAGCTAAAACATTGTTACTCTCTTTCCTCCTCCAGAGGCTGCCAGGTAGACTCCAGGGTGGCTCTCCTGCTCTGCTAGCCCACACCAATCACTTCATGTGGGTTTCTGCACAGCCTCCTGGGCCACCGAGCCACTCCAAGCTCTCCTTCCAATTCACCAGAACAGCACTGTCAGAGGGGGGGCCTTTCTTTTTTTCTTTTTTTCATTAATTAATTGAGGGCCAGTAGGTGACATAGCGGTTAAGGTGCTAGATTCCCACAAGGGTGACTGTGGTTTGAGTCCTGGACCTAGCAGCTTGAGCATCAGGCCACACGCATGCATGTGCCCAAAAAACTGAGAGGAGAACAGAGAAGAGATTTCGGTGTGGCCATCTCCCACCACAAGGGGATGCCTCTTTCTCTCTCCAACAAGCACGTGCACCCTATGACAAAAACCTAAAATAATAATAATTTATCCCATGAGCAAGCGAGAGAGAGAGAGAGAGAGACAGACAGCACCCATGACAGGTCTTGCCATGACCCTCCCTCCCAGCTCCAGTCAGCCTAGATCGCCGGCCCCTGTATGCCCCCTACTTAGGGAATTCTGCAGGCGTGAAGCCTGAACCCTCCACTGTGGGCCAGTGTCACAGAACTCTACCAGTGCTGTAAAAACCACTGGGATCTGGCCTGCAGAAAGAGGCCGTCAGACCAGAGTCCTCATAAAGCTCGTCTCACACGGTGCTTGGTACCCAGCAAGTGCTGAAGTGAGAAAGAGAAAGCACGTTTGCTCTAAAAACGAAGGCACTGGATTTGAAAAGCTGAAAGGAGGCAGAGTTTCCCTCTGTGCCTTCCGGGCTGACTCCACCTGTGTGTAATCTGCAATGCACCCAGCCCTCCACTGTCACCCGAAGGGCCAATGCCCACAGATGAGTCCAGGACAGAAGGGGGTGCAGCTCTGCTGGGGACGAGGCACAAAGGGGGATACTAGGCATCATGCTGGGAAATGTTGTTGGTCCAAGAGTCCACGGGATGCCAACCCACACCCAGCAAACCGGGAATTCTCGCTTCTTCCAGCACCCCAGGCTGCTGAGCTGGCGGGGCACCCACCCCCCGGGGATGACTGTGGCCCTCTGTACACTCTGGGCTGGGGGCCACGCTGCCCGAGAGCCTGTCCTCGCAGGGAACATTCAGATGTTCTGAATAAGGGGCACACGTCCGCCAGGTAGGCAGCGCGGAGAGCAGAACAGAGGGGACTCTTCCACAGGAAGCACACAAATTATCATGCGCCTTGTTCAGCCACAAAGAAAAAATTTCAGAAATGCTTAGCACCCTTCCAAATTCTGCAGAGTTCTCCGTGGAAAACTTCAAACGTGACTTTATGAACCATCAAAAATGTTACTGCTAAGGGCTGGCCTGTCACCCTAGAGGTTAAGGGAGCTGGATCCCATAGGTCCAGGCGTAGTTCGAATCTCTGCCCTGGCAGCTCAAAAACCACATTAGCTGCATGCATGTGCATGCATGTCCAGACTCCCGACAGGATGGAGAAAGAGAAGGGACTGTGATGTTCACTCTCTTTCCTCCTCCAGAGGCTGCGAGGCAGACTCCAGGGTGGCTCTCCTGCTCTGCTAGCCCACACCAATCACTTCATGTGGGTTTCTGCACAGCCTCCTGGGCCACCGAGCCACTCCAAGCTCTCCTTCCAATTCACCAGAACAGCACTGTCGGGGGGGGGCTTCTTTTTTCCACTCCAAGCTCTCCTTCCAATTCACCAGAACAGCACTGTCAGGGGGGGGGGCTTTCTTTTTTTCTTTTTTTAATTAATTAATTGGGGGCCAGTAGGTGACATAGCGGTTAAGGTGCTAGATTCCCACAAGGGTGACTGTGGTTTGAGTCCTGGACCTAGCAGCTTGAGCATCAGGCCACACGCATGCATGTGCCCAAAAAACTGAGAGGAGAACAGAGAAGAGATTTCGGTGTGGCCATCTCCCACCACAAGGGGATGCCTCTTTCTCTCTCCAACAAGCACGTGCACCCTATGACAAAAACCTAAAATAATAATAATTTATCCCATGAGCAAGCGAGAGAGAGAGAGAGAGAGACAGACAGCACCCATGACAGGTCTTGCCATGACCCTCCCTCCCAGCTCCAGTCAGCCTAGATCGCCGGCCCCTGTATGCCCCCTACTTAGGGAATTCTGCAGGCGTGAAGCCTGAACCCTCCACTGTGGGCCAGTGTCACAGAACTCTACCAGTGCTGTAAAAACCACTGGGATCTGGCCTGCAGAAAGAGGCCGTCAGACCAGAGTCCTCATAAAGCTCGTCTCACACGGTGCTTGGTACCCAGCAAGTGCTGAAGTGAGAAAGAGAAAGCACGTTTGCTCTAAAAACGAAGGCACTGGATTTGAAAAGCTGAAAGGAGGCAGAGTTTCCCTCTGTGCCTTCCGGGCTGACTCCACCTGTGTGTAATCTGCAATGCACCCAGCCCTCCACTGTCACCCGAAGGGCCAATGCCCACAGATGAGTCCAGGACAGAAGGGGGTGCAGCTCTGCTGGGGACGAGGCACAAAGGGGGATACTAGGCATCATGCTGGGAAATGTTGTTGGTCCAAGAGTCCACGGGATGCCAACCCACACCCAGCAAACCGGGAATTCTCGCTTCTTCCAGCACCCCAGGCTGCTGAGCTGGCGGGGCACCCACCCCCCGGGGATGACTGTGGCCCTCTGTACACTCTGGGCTGGGGGCCACGCTGCCCGAGAGCCTGTCCTCGCAGGGAACATTCAGATGTTCTGAATAAGGGGCACACGTCCGCCAGGTAGGCAGCGCGGAGAGCAGAACAGAGGGGACTCTTCCACAGGAAGCACACAAATTATCATGCGCCTTGTTCAGCCACAAAGAAAAAATTTCAGAAATGCTTAGCACCCTTCCAAATTCTGCAGAGTTCTCCGTGGAAAACTTCAAACGTGACTTTATGAACCATCAAAAATGTTACTGCTAAGGGCTGGCCTGTCACCCTAGAGGTTAAGGGAGCTGGATCCCATAGGTCCAGGCGTAGTTCGAATCTCTGCCCTGGCAGCTCAAAAACCACATTAGCTGCATGCATGTGCATGCATGTCCAGACTCCCGACAGGATGGAGAAAGAGAAGGGACTGTGATGTGACCATGCTCCCTGGGTTCTTTCTCTCTCTCTCTGCAAGCACGTGTTCTCCGGCGCTTAAAAAAATGTTACTATTAGATGGGACCAGCAGTTAGCGTAATGGCTATGCTGTTGGACTCCCATGTAGTCAACCATGGTTCGAGTCCTGGACCCAGTGGCTTAAACTCCCGCCGGGTGCATGTGTGTACATGACCAAGATCCCGAGAGGAGAATGGAGATGGGATTGTGGCATGGCCATCCCCCCTGGGGGGTGACTCCTCACTTTCTGTCTCTCTGTCTCTCTCTGTCTGTCTGGAGAGTGCACAGTGCCTTATAACAAAAACTTCTAAAAAAAAATGTTGCTATTAGAAAGTCAAAGAGGGATCAGCAGGTGGCGCGGTGGTTAAGGAGCTGGACACTCCCACATGGCTGACCTTGGCTCAAGTCCCAGACTTGGTGGCTTGCTGTGTGTGTGTGTGTGTGTGTGTGTGTGTGGTTAAATTAAAATAAATGAATAAATAAAATTAAATAAATAATTCCTTAAAAAAGGAAAAAGGAAGTCAAAGATGAAGTCCCTCACCATGGAAATGGTTCACCTCTGGAACAAAGAGGGAGAAGCTTGCTGTTGCTGGGAAAACAAAGGCTGAGAACAAGTCCAGATTGCTGGGCCTTGGGGCCTGCCCACTTAGGCCTCTGCTGCTCCGCAGGGGCTCCTCTGTGACCTTGACCACAGGAGCTCTGGCAGGTGCGTGAGAACCCCTGCTGCTGACACCCACGGGGAGTCCCTGACATCT